AATGTTGCATAGTGTGCCTTTAACTGTAATATGCAATTACCTTCCACCGCACTTTAATTTAGATTGCTTCTGTCCAAACTTTATTTATTAATTTTATAGTAAAACCCATCTGTATATATGCTATTGTACATAACTGTAAAAACCCTTTTTATAGTAATATCCACCTGTATATTATATTCAGTAATTATCCAGCTATAAATTTAGTTCATAACACTAGTTATCCATATATTATATTCATCTATTTGTAAGATTCTGTTTATAATGGTATTCATCTCTATACTCAATGAGTAGAAACCCATCTCCTGTATTTATGGAACCATTATTTATCCTGCACTTTCTGCTACTGCACTTCTGGTTAGACCTAAACTGCATTTTGTTACCTTGTAGCTGTACCTGTGTAATGAGAATAAAGTTGATTCTAATCTAATCTAATTGAGTAACATCTATGATGTAAAATGTGATGATGTGGCAGACTGGAGATGTATAAAATGCTTTTTAACTGTTAATCTGGGCCACTTCCTGAGAGGTGAGCAGCTGCCTTCTGTAAACTCTAAGCAACTTCTCTGATCTTAGTAAGATTACAATTTCTATCAGAATCTGTTGTCATGTCTCCTGGTTAATTAACTCTGTCTGTCCAGGCTGAGTCCACCTCAACATGCAGGGAAAAGTTCCACAGGCTGTCAGCCACGACTTACGCTGGAACCAACTCCCGCTAAAAGTCCGGTTGTAGGGTTTAGCTTTTTCCTCGGTTCGCTGCGTTAAATTTATTCCTGGCTTGTAGGTTCCCAGCTCCTTTTCGTGGATTTTTTCCACCATCGTCCTTCTCATGAAAGGGTAACTTAGTAAAGATCTCACTGAATTGTGTAAAAGCTGCTCTTCAAGTTCATCTGTTGGCGTCGCCATAATCTCCACCTCACTGCCTGACTGACTACTAGCTACATCTATATCACTGTAGCAGGGGCCAAAATTCCAGGAGCCCTAAAGCAATGGCGTAACTATCGGTAAGCAGAGATTGCAGTTGCTTAGGGGCCCCGTCGCTGACACTTGGTTGGTCCCCTATGCAATTGTGGACTAGGACATCTTTTTACAAATGTAATGGTGCAAAAAATTGCTCTTAAACCCACCTGCTACTAGATCGACTGACCGGACCTTATTTATACCCCAACACATGGTGAGCCCACCCAGATAATGACGCTTACGGGCCTATTGTTGTGTCGTTACGGATTAGTCCCAAAGCCATTAATTATGGCGATGCTGATTGGCCAAATATTGATTAATTTCCCCTAGCAACTTTATACTATTGGTTAT